CATTTGTCTGGTGTACTATGGTCAAAAGTGTCAAAGCTGAGTATCGTATAGACGATATTAGTGATAAATACGTTTTATGGATAATGAAGATTAGTCAGGTAAGTAAATAATATATATCATATTTATATTTATCAAAGCGAATATATATATTTATACTTATTACTATATATAGGCTGCTAGAAGAAATATTGATGAAGCAAAGACATTGGTCAGAAAATGGGCAGTAGAAGATGATTCAGAAGAAACCACACTGTATCAGGACATCTTACGTGACATGTAGGTTTAAACATTGACGATGCTGGATACCTGTATTAAACAACAGAGGCTAATAGTCCTATTTTTATTTATTTATCTATTTATTGAAGGGTCAAATCGTATTCCGATGTATATGATCCATCAAAAATTAATGAAGACACGTTTGTCAAAGATACCCTCACACCCATCCTTAAGAATTACTTTCCAAATGACCAATTGATAAGTACAGAAGGGTATGTATATTTATATATAGTTATTATTATAAAATAGTATATTTATAATGAGGATCTGATCTAACATATGAATAAATAAATAAATACATAGCGCAAATGGCGAAATCATTGGATCGAAAGAAAGAAAGAAAGTATTTAGTTCCGAATCAGGTGGAAAACGAGGAGATTTTATTGTTTATACGTGTGATGGAGCCAAAAGCCAACTACTTTGCTTAATGGATTGTAAACCTCCACGAGCGGGAAATAGCGACGATCTGTTCAAGGCAGCAAACTGTCTAAAAGATTGTATAGACAAGTCTGTTAGAGATGGTGTTGATTGCAATGACTTGGAATTATATGCTATTGTATCTGAAGGTATATTTAGACTTTATTTTTATGTTGTTATCTATTTATGTATCGTCAAAATTGGATCTGACTTTCTTGTTTTGTTTTATAGGATACTGTTGCCGTGTTCTTTGTCTAGATTTAAAGTATCATGGAATGTACAGATTGGTAGATGTGGGCACGTTTTATATTCCTACAAGTATTAACAACATGGACACTATGCTCGGTGTATCTTCTATTAAATAGAGCATGGTCCTTACGATTTCAATCCCAGCTAAAATCCAGATTTGGAAATAGCAACATGCTTTGTTTGTGTTTTTTCATTGTCAGGAACGTATGCATATTCCGTTGTTGTCTTTCAAAACAATTATTACTGTGCTTTCAAGTATCCAATAGTACAATGAGTTCGCAAGAGGTGTGTTACTTGACTTAATCAACCGCCAATAATATTTGAGGCATTTTCTTGAAATTCATTACAAAAAGTTTAAATCACTATGATAACTAATTTTTTTTGTTGGGGTGTTGAAGCAATCTACTACTCATCAAAATTGTAACTGTGGTTCAAATGTCGACAATGGACTATGCCCAGCTCATTCTTGCAATGTTCGTCGTAGAATAGGCAATATATGTTTTGCGAGTCTATATATATTTATATTTGTATTACTGCAGTCTGTTTACTTTGAGAAATCGGTATGTAGATGTTATGAACATTCCTCGACCTCTACTAAGTGATCACCCTCAACCTCGATGATCACTTATTAAATCCCCAAGTAACAATATCATCCATCATCATCGTCCGAATTAACAACCCTAATACCAATCTTTCCGTTTATTCGCATTATTAAATTCCATAGTAAAAGATATATAAACACCATAGTCTTTGAATAATAAAACATCAGTCAGATATCTTGTTTCCATCCTATACCTTGTTCTTGTTTCTTCCCTCACCATCTGGTCTCCTACCTCCAGGTTTCCTTCTTGTCTTGTCCTGTTCTTGCTGAAAGCACCTAGCACATTCTCGTCCGGTCTTTCTGTCCCTTCTTGTCTTGTTCCTGTCCGCACCTTACAGTAGATTGTTTTTGAAGACCCCACCGCTCCTGCTACTTCGAGAACTTGCGTCTGTGGCTCGACCACCCACCAAAGACGTTCCTCTAGGCTTTGCCCTCTTAACCCTCGCAACCAAGGTATTTTACCTGAATTGATCAGTTTGGTATAATAATATTTTTGCTGATAGAACTACAGTTGCTGTACTTCCTACTTCTCCTTCTCCACCAGCTGCCACCGTTGTTGCCGTCAATGCTCAACCATCCGCTCCTCCTCTACCAGCACCACCTACCACTATCAACGCTCAGCCGCCTCCTGTCGTGGCTACCAACTCTCCGTCTCCTCCACCTACACCTGCCGCCAATCCTCCTCCAGCAACGCCTGCTGCTGTTACTGCCACCCCACCAGTTACGCGTTGCTCCAGTTGCTGGGCACCAACGCACACGCGCCGCACCCACCGCCTCTGTCCATTTAACCCAAGCAATGTCGAGCATGAGCATGGGGCGCAATACCGCATTGCGCGTGTAGTCCCCTTCAATCCAGAAGACGTTTTTGGGCCAAACGTATGCTATACTGCCAGCGACTCCTTCCATCGTTATGTGTTGCCACATATGGATACTGTTTGTCCGTATTGTGGTGCACTAATGTGGTTGGATGAAAAGCTCACGATATCATCCATACGCAATCCTCGCTTTGGTCTCTGCTGCCTTTCCGGAAAGATCCAGCTGCCAATTCCTCGCGCTCCTCCTGTTCCTCTCCGTGACCTCCTAACGAATCGTAACAGTAATGATCCCGTTAGTGTCAACTTTCATACCAACATCAGGGCATATAACAGTATGTTTGCATTTGCATCCATTCTTGGTGGCAACGTTGATCCTGTCTTAGCAAGTGGTGCAGGCGGCGTACCCACTTACCGTATCAATGGTACATTGTATCATGCTGTTGGTGCGCTAAGACCTGATAACCAGGCGCAAGTGAATTATTCGCAGATCTATTTCGCAGATACACAGGAGCAATTGGCAAGACGTACGACTTTGTATTCTGGGCTCCTCCGCGAGACGATCGAAATGCTGCAAGGTGTAATGGAGACGCACAATCCTTTGGCGCGCACATTCGTTTCTGCTGTCGAAACCCACGGTGATCAGCCACTTGGAACACTTCAGGCTGTAATTCGTCAAAGCGACTTGGGCCGTCGCTACGATCAACAGGGTTACCCAGAAGTAGCAGCAATGGTGGTAGAACGTACTGTGGATGGCACTGTACGGGAGCATGACTTCGTCATTCACGATCGTGCAGAAGGTCTTCGTCGTATCAGCTCCTTGCACGCATCGTATATGCCGCTCCATTACGTCCTGATGTTCCCATTTGGCGATAATGGATGGTTCCAAGGTTTGACTTGCGAGTCGGTGTCGCACGACACGATCCAAGTAACGCTGCGTGAGCACTGCACGTACTTGCTCATGATCCGTAATGGCGACCGCGAATCGTTCCTGCACTACTATAGGCGTCTCTTCCAGCAGATGGTGGTTGACAACTACGCACGTATCGAATTTTCCCGCCTTAACTTCATCCTCACCCACCAACGAACGATACGTGCTGAGTTGTATAGTGGTGTTGGTGATAACGTCGATCCCAGGCAAATTGGTCGTGCAGTCATTTTGCCAGCGTCGTTTACAGGTGGCCCTCGCTACATGAAGCAGATGCTACAGGATGGGTTAGCAATCATTCGCCAGCGGGGTAACCCAACGCTTTTCGTTACGTTTACTTGTAATCCAAGATGGCCTGAAATCGTTGCGGAGCTTCTTCCTAGCCAGCAAGCATACGACCGACCAGATATTGCAACTCAGGTGTTTCACCTCAAACTCACCCAGTTGCTCAAGGATATCAAGGAGTCGAAATGCTTTGGTCAAGTCGCTGGATACTTGGCAACTGTCGAGTTCCAGAAGCGTGGTTTGCTGCACGTCCATATCCTGGTCATTTTGGAGCAAGAAGACCGTCCACGCAACCCCACCGACTACGACCAATTTGTATCTGCTGAGTTGCCGAATCCCGTCACACAACCACAATTGTATCGCACGGTGACAGCGTGCATGATACACGGCCCATGTGGTCCAGGCACCAATGCTGTGTGCATGAAGGATAACCGGTGCTCACAAGGCTATCCAAAACCATTTAACAACGAGACACGCGTCAACCGAGATGGATATCCCATACCGACGCCGTGAAAATCAACAAAACCGCCACCTCTTCCCTACTTCCAACTTTCTCGCCGACAACCGACATGTTGTGCCGTACAACCCCTACCTTAGCCACAAGTACGGTGCACACATTAACGTTGAAATTTGCACATCCAACCGCGCCATCAAGTATTTGTGCAAATACATCACCAAGGGCACCGACCGAGCACAAATACAAACCACCGCAACTGCCACCACAACCACCACCAATACCGATAATGCCGCTGCCGAGCTGGTCAATGAAGTAGAGCAGTTTCAAAACGCTCGATACATTGGTCCGTGCGAGGCTATCCATTGTACGTTCGAGTTTGATGTGCATATGCACTATCCAACAGTCGTACGTTTGGACCTTTACTTACCTGGCAAACAGATTGTCAATCTACGTGACGATATGACACCACAGGAAGTTCGTGCAGCGCGTGACGCGGCAGAATCCGGCACCAAGCTTCTTGCCTTTTTCCGCCTTTACAGCGAAAATCGTGCAACAGAAGAGTATCTTTACTCAGAGATCCCATGCCACTACACCTGGGACAACAGAAATCGCCGTTGGAATCCTCGCACCAACCCTCCCGTCCAAAATGTTGTTACGCGTATATTCCATGCTTCCCTCTCGAATATGGAATTATATTGCCTTCGCCTCCTTCTGCTGTCTGTCTATGCTCCCACTAGTTTTGTTTCTCTGAGGCAGTATGAGGGAACAACATATGCGACGTTCCAGGAAGCTGCTGTTGCCCGTGGCCTTCTGGAGTCCGACGAGGAATGGGATCGCTGTATGGCTGAGGTTGTCCAGGTTGCCCCATTAGCTGCAGCAATTAGACAGCTTTTTGTCTATATTCTGACGAACTGCTCTCCTGCTGACCCAGCATCGCTGTGGACCACCTATCGCGAGCGTATGGCAGACGACTACTTCTTTGAGATGCGCAGGACGCTCTCTATTCCCAATGAAGCCGAATTGTCTGAGCAACAACTCGAACAGATCTACCAGCGCACCCTTGGTGACATTGAGACCCGGTTGCAGGTCACCGGTCATCATCTCTCCGAGTTTCCGTCGTTACCGCAGACCTTTGCGACCGAGCTGGATCTGCTACCACGCCTTGAAGGTCTGGCACTCCTTGAAGGTCGTGAATATGAGGTGAATGAGCAGAATCGCATCCTGCAAACGCTGCTACCTACTCTCAACGACGAACAGCGAGCTGCATATGATGCTATCACCAATGCAATGGATGTTTTCGCTCCACACTACTTCTCTCGCGTTTTCTTTGTGAATGGAGCCGGTGGTACTGGCAAATTGCAGTTGTTTAAAACGCTGTTGAGGTGTGTCCGATCGCGTGGTGAAATAGCACTGCCTGTTGCTACATCGGGTATTGCTGCAATTCTGCTTCCTGGTGGCCGTACCGCGCACAGTCGTTTTAAGATTCCTATAAACGCTGATGCTGATACGACATGTAACCTTCGTCTTGGTGGGCCACATGCATATCTGGTACAACAAGCCTCTCTCATTATTTGGGATGAGGCTGTTATGTGCAGTAAGCACAATTTTGAGGCTGTCGACCGGTCATTGCGTGACATCATGGGCGCCATTGATCCAGTATATGGACAGATTCCTTTTGGTGGCAAGGTCGTGGTGTTTGGTGGCGATTTCCGTCAAGTGCTTCCTGTTGTCAAGAGGGGTACACGTTCAGAGATAGTAGGCGAGACCATCCGTTCAGCTACCTTTTGGGAGAATCATGTCCAGGTCTTACACCTCACTGTCAATATGCACGTGCGTCAGGCTGGCCCTGATGCCGCTGCATTTGCTGATACCCTCCTTGCAATCGGTGATGGGCAGCCACCTTATACTGAAGCTGTTCAGATTCCTGCAGAATGGCGTATGGATGCAAGTGACACTATGTCACTTATTGATGTCGTGTATCCATCCATTCGAGCTTTTGATCCGCAACCAGAGCACTACCA